CACAGAACCAGATAGAAACTTGACATCCAATCAGTACTAACCTACATCTATGTACAGTACATGTTACATGTACACTGTACATGCTTCAAACCCTTGTCACAGAGGTGGAAGGCGAGGAAAGTTCCATTGCACCAACTGGACTCCTCGAGAAACTCTAGCTAATATGGAGTTTTTACAGATTACATGTACAAATTAGTAACATTTCTGACACCAGCATTAAACTACAAAAATTGCCCTAAACCAGGCGTGCAACTTTTCCTTGGATTAGCTGATTTCCTTGTTTTTTACTTCACGCTCATGCCACTGAAAATTTAAAAACACTTTGGACTTTCCTCCTCGTTTGTCAAGTGTGCTGTTTGTGAGAGACTTATGCACTGTTGAATTTCAACACACGTGTATAGCATTGCATTAATTGAAACTCATTGTTAGAACCTGCACTTATCACTCAAATGGGAACTGGATATTTGACCCCATTACCTGCTACATTATAATGTATTGGCGTATTCACATTGTCATCTATTGGTATCTATACTGTGGCCTCTATTGCAGGATGTTTTGTCTTTTTAAAAGACATACATGTAAACACGTATTTGGCATTGTTAGCTTTGAGGTACATGTAGACTTTACATGTACCGTTATGTGTACATGTAAATGTAAAGCCTGATTTATAGTTGGTCAGTAGTTTCATTTTTACTTATGTGAACTTACATGTAATAGCATCTTGGAAACCAAATCATTTACTTAAATGGGTACCGGTACATGTACCGGTACACTGTGTACACTCGTATATTTACAGTACTATATGTACATGTACATGTATGTACATGAAACTAAAAACATGGCCAATGGAAATGCTCTAAATGTATTAGATACATGTACATGTGTGTACAGTTTGTACATGTATCGGTACATTGTGTGTTTTCTATTATTGTACAAATGTAAGTACATGGATGCAGGGCACTTCCGATATTCCATCATGTAGTATTGGATTAACAGGTTGATTAACAAAATGCAAATGATAAGCCTAATGAGATACATGCCAGTATGTACTGAGTGAGTTCAAAGCATGTCACTGCAGTGGTTACCGGTGCATTCAAATTAGGCATCAAACTTTTTGCATTTGCTGGTTTCTTTTCCCTTTTTTGTTTTGTAGGTCATTGCACCGGTAAATTGAAAAAAACACTGTACATGTACAATGTTGACACATGTATATGTACATGGGTTATTCTATAAATTTGGGGTGCAATTTTTTTCCCCCTTCCCTGTCCCATCTGGCATACATGTAAGAGGTAACAGGGACGGAAAATGTCACTCTTTGTCATGTTTGGACCCCAAATTTGTAGAGTGACCCAAGGTACATGTACATGTATATACATGTATTTAATTTGTTTGGTTTTAGTTTTCCCTGATTCCCTTTCGGTTTGCCTTGGGGTGTACATGTACACGTAGCAACGTTATTTTGATGGGGGATGTGTTGGGTAGAGTAAATGTGAAAAGGGACACTCAGCATCCTTGCTAAACCTTTTGTTTACAGGTCACCCAACTTTCTGAAAATACGAGGAAGGGGGAAAGCAACGTACTGTTCAAAATGAATGGCACAGCCTGCACTCTTTATGGCCACAAAATTTCTAAAGTTTTCACAACGTCGGGTATGGTACATGTAACTTAACAGTAAGGCAAAAAATCCTGCTCGTGGGGAAAAAATGGGCACTACCCTCCTTTTGCTGTAACAGTCAAAGATTCCTTCTACTTTCTACTACAGTACAATATACATACACGAACATATAGACATACATGTATCACATGTCACTTGACTGATTTTGACTGATAGGACAACTGTGTCAAGAATGCATCTCTAATGTGCAAAAAAGGGCACTTGTTACAAAATATTGGTGGCGGGGGGGATAACCTGTACGCCTAAGGTTGCTACATGCGTGTCACCGTTAAATGCGCAGAGAATCAGAGACTCAATATGTTTTATACACTTACTGGTATGAACATGTATACCAGTGCACTGTGTATTAGAAATTGTGGAATTACCTACCAGTTCATTTGCTACCCTACACATGTACATGTAGGTACCGGTACATGATGATTGTCAAGTAATAACATGTACAAACTTGTCCATTTTTAACACTAACAGTCCTCAATCCTCCACTTTCAATATGTTTTTACACTCATACCCCTGGGGTTAGGGTTATTGGCCTTAGTGTCATGTTTTTGCAAATAATATTTCATATGTACCGGTACACGCATATGTTTATGAACATGTGCGCATGTACAAAACATGTACCGGTAGATTTTTTACGGCAGCTTAATCCCATTTCATGCACATGTCTGTGTCACATGTACATGTACTTTTATTGTGCATACTGGTAAATGACAGTAGTTCTGCTTATACACGTATTTCAAGTTTACACACCCCATTGATTTTCACCTTGTTTTTCTTGTTAAGGCTTTATACCATTAAATTGGTCTGAACTGTTTTTTTTTTTTAAATGAGTAAATAAAGTGGTAAAATATTAATGAACGTGATGTTAGCTACTTGTACTTCTGATGGAGCCAGAGATTGATAGGGTTTGTAATGTGTTATTTCAGTCTCTTTTCTCACAGACATGCAAACATGATAAATATTTTGGTGTGATGGGTTAATTAAAAGTAATAGTATTGTTAACACTTTGCTATGAACACGTACATGTACACGTTACCGTATGCACATGTACATGTATGCTTTTCCTGCTGCGATTTGCTGATAAAATGTGAATTTATACATTGCACTGTACATACAGTGTACGTGTACTTGATTGCATACAAAATGTACATCCTGCCATTGTTAAATTTTAATTCAGACCGATGGCCCTTCCCAAAAAAGGGGAAAAGAAAGTGAATCAGTTCAGGACTGATGCTGTCAAAAATTTATTTGAGCCCCATTGTTATTTTGTATGTAGCCTTCAGCCCATCCTGACCTCATCTAGCCATTGTTTGGGTTAAGTGATGCTTAATGTCCGGCTTGCTGGCTCTGCATGCCAGCACATTTCCCTTTCCTGTTTGACATCCACACCCCAAACCAAGCAAACACCCCCGTAGATTCTTAACAAAGGAAGAAAAGACAACAGAGAGAAGAAGACAAGGATGTCAGAAATTGTCCTTAAAAGGATTGACATACATGTACGTGTACTGTATTCTAGTTTTGCAGACAAGTATTGGAACACATATATGTACAGTACGTACATGTACATGTAAATAAAAAAAAATTGCTCTGTCAATGCCCATGTAAACTGTGCATATGTACATGTACATGTGTATTGTACATGTGCAGTCACTTCAAGCACAAAGTACAATGTATCATTAGTGGCCAAAATTAAGTATCCCCCAGTTATGCACTGTCCCTTAATACCTGAATGTGGAAGTTGGGGTTTTCATTGCGAGAGATTTGTTTACTTGATTTGCATTACATGTATGTTTTCTGCAGATTGGCCTAAATTTCAGGCAGCATGTAGAGTCTCTTACATGTGTATATGTAAACTACTGGTACATGTCCTGGTTTCTCCCTTTCCACCTGCCCACAGGAAAGTAAGAAAAGAGAATGGACAGAATGGCAAGGTAATTAAAGCGAGAGATCAATCAGGGGTGTATTGATTTGCTGTTTAATTGGGCCCCCGTCACAGAGTTGTCTTCAGTGCTGGCAGTGACAGGAAGATGAGCTAACCAACTGTATCAAGTATAGACTGTAGGTACCGGTATGTACATACATGTACATGTACGTATACCGGGAGTACCATACCGGCAGGCCTTCTGTAGGCATGTCAGGGACAGTTTGCAAGTGGACTTGCGGCACTTGATGAGGAAGATGCAACGTCAGACTGGGCCTGCAGCGGAAGTTGATTCAAATCAATACCCATGTATCGCAGCTATGAGGAAAGCCTAGGAATTACTTTCAGCTCAATTTTGTTGACCCAAGTGGGGCCGTGATTTCATTTCCATTAGCTTGCAAGTTGTTTGGTGCGGTGTAAATGGCAATGCGTACGCATCTGCTGTACATCCGTGTGGTTTAAGCTCATGGAGTGCAGATGTGAGCGTACAATAACTGCCTCTATCTTGGAACCAAATACTGTACATGTACTTTATACCGAGGTCATAGTGACAATAAAGTCTGGAATTTAGTGGAAAGATATTGGCAGTAATTATTGATATCATTAGCCATATATTGCTACAGCTTGAAGAGGAAGTTAGATGCACACTGTAAATTGTGCTCTCAAAATTAATTGTTATGCCAACAAGGAAAACCTGTAGAAACACCCATATATGTACATAGTGTAAAAAACATGCTTGATACATGTACATGTATATGGAGTTGTTCCAACTTCTAATTCTCTCTCAGAAAAGGAGGAAAAAGTTCATAAGAGAAAACAGGAATCCAAAATGTCGGTCAGCTAACTACCGGTACAAAGAAGGGACAAGGGCAAAACTTTGTGGCATCAAGGACAGGCTGTACATGTATGTACACTGTGTGTACATGAAGCACAAAACATGCTTGTATTTAAACACATAAAAAAGGAGACATATATATATGTGTAATGGGGGGTAACTGAAATATAGATATTAAAGATAAAATGTTTAAAGAAAGATGAACGCCATCAGTGGCTTTTCTGCTGTGTGGACATTTTCAAAACTCAAAATTAAATCATATTGAGGAAAGGACTTGGAAACATGCTTGGAATAGCATGAAATTCTTGTTTGTCTGTCACTTGAACGTCAGATGTTCTGATACAGGAAAAGAAGTATTTGTAAAGAAAAGTACACATGGAAAATCAACCATTGACATCCGCAGCTAAAGCAAGTTTAATTGCAACTTTGGCAATTTGGGGCTAAAAGTGTTCATTGATGTCAAATTTTGTGATGCATTGATTATTTTGCATTTGCCACTCCTTCACAGACCTTAACCCTAACCCCCAAGGGTTGCTGGCCCTAACCTTCCCCATTCATACAAAGTTAAACACCCATATGGGACTTTATGCACAGAGGCTGTTGGACTTTGTTTTTTCTGAGGTATGCCAAACCCAATGCAAAAGCCAGCTGTTGTGGATCTACCAGACCTATCCCCACAGAATTAAACACTTTAGTACTGTTTAATTCTGTGTGGTTGGGGAAGGTTAGGGTTAAAACATCCAATTTCCCCCAGCCACCCCTCAAGACTCAGACTAGTGACAGAAAAGCAAATTCACATGGACACAGAAAACTCATTGTCAAAATGGGTAATAAGAAGTGGTCCTGGGAGGTGGTGAATTGTAAGCTGCCAGAAAGGTATGCAGAAACAAACAAAACAGTAAAAAAAGGATACAGCTATCTTGTTTCTTTTCTTCTTTAATGTAATCTTTATCCAGTGAACCAGTTTGGCATTCCAGCAGAGCATGCCTAAAATGAAGCAAATCTCAGGTCATTTGGGAACAACAGCATGCCCACACGAAGTCTGCCTCATCAGTCCGGCTGTACCCCCAACTTACTCATGTGGTTTGTTCTCAAATGACCTCACCTATTTTAAATATGTACTGAGCAATCTTATTCATAAACATTAGCATGCGGGCAAAATTTGAGTGTGTTTTTCAGTCACATTCATGCACCAAGCATTGGGCATGTACATGTACATGTATTTGTACATGCCCACAGTGAACAAGTCAGTGTAAATTCATTGATTGATCAACACGCAATATCAAGTGGAAACGCATTAACAGCAAACGTTCTCCTCTTAATTGTTAGAGGAACAGGTTGGTATAGGTGTACATGTACGTATGCATATGTACCGGTGTATGTAGGCACCAGTCCCTGTGCACATGTGCCATTGACATCAGTGGTTTTGCAGATGTTAATTGAAGTATATAGAGTGACGTAACGTAACGTAAGTCTCCTTAGTTGTGAGGTAACTTACCGGTATCAGGTTGAAAGCCTCTAGACAACAAGTACAGAGGTGGTTGTATTTTCAGGGAATATTCTATGCCAAATCTGGTGGCCGAAAAAGTCCAGGTTTGTTTGTACAAAATATTTATTAAAGAAAGTATTTTGACTTCGGTGGTTTTGAGAATGTTTATTCAAGCATTTCTATCAAATTTGCTTTCACTTCTGTGTTAATTTGCTTTGTGTTTTTAGTCAAGAGTTGTGCGGCAACAGAAAGGCGAGCGTAGCTTCCATTCTTTCTATCAGCTGCTGACCGGGGCCAATGAGCAGCAGCTTGGTGACTTGCAACTCAAGCGGGACTTCTCTCTGTACCATTTCATCAGTCAAGGCAATGTGGAGGTAGGGCACAAGACACAAAGAAATCGCACTTCATTAATTGCTTAGTGTCTTGCTCATACATGTATGTGAATGGAGCTTGTCTTTCAGAAAACAAATGACTCATTGGAAGGGTGATATTTGCCAATTATTGTACGTGTACATGTACCTCAACAGAATAACCGAGCTTGCTGCAAGCGTGTATTAAGCTGGTAGATACATGTTCATGTATTTGCTTGCTGCAAGCTTACATGAGATTGCACGTCATTCATGCTGTCAATGGCACGCAGAGAAGCTTGAGGCACACGCTTTAGGCAAGCTTGCTGCAAAGTAGACATGCTTACAGAAGTATGCAGCAAGCTTGCCTTTGGGCTAGCCAGCTTCTGACTATCCTGCGCATGAACACCTGAAGAAATCCATTCATCTAATTTTGGGGAAAATGGCAGAGCAGATCACGTGACATTAATTATACCCTCCTAATGGGTGGCATTCTTTTGCACCGGAAGGAGAATGCATTCTGCCCCGAACTGAAGTACACCCCCAATCGGCGAAAGAAAGACAGGTGGTTGCAAGCGGGTTCTTGTACGCAAAGACCATACAAAATACAAAGACCAGAAACTGGAGTCTTTTTTTTTGGCCTTAGTTATGCATACATACATTGTAAATTATTCATTGTTATTACATGTATATTACATGTGCATGTTCCTGTATATGTATTCACTGTGAACATCCATACATGTACATGTATGTTGCATTTACTGGACACACTGGTACATGTAGCTAAACCTCCGTGCATATACATGTATGTATAGGTATTGGCGTAGGAGATTGTTTCATTTCAGTATCTGAGGTTACAGTAATACTGCACTATTAGGCCTTGGTCACTTCCACCCTTTCGCCACACGTGGTGGGCATATCTTGCCTAAGGTTGAGATTCTACTCATGTACAGCTGGAAAATTTCACATGTTAGGGTGTATAGGGAGCGTCTCAAAAGTCGAAACATGCCTATTTCTACTGGAATGTGCCTTTACGGAACAATACAAATATGTTTCTGATGGGAATTGTTATATTCCCATCAGGTGCACAATGTGCCTTCTGATTGGGGCATGCAGTGCTCTTGCTGGAACACTCTTTAGTGTCCTAACTTTTTGGATGTGGAATAACAGTCCCACCGATATGTTTTCATAGTGTGCATGTATTACCAAAGAGGTAGGTTAAAAAAGCTATGGCTACATGTACATGTACGTGCAAACACGTTAGAAACAGGTTTTTCTTTTGTGGTTTGAATAGCCTGCCGCATTTAATGACAAGAAGAACCACAAGGCCACTCTGGAGGCTCTCAGGGACGCTGGGTTTTCAGCAGATCAACAGGCGTCTATGTGGAAACTCCTGGCTGTCATCTTACACTTGGTGAGCTTCTGCAGTCCACTGAATGTTGTCCAAGAACTTGAGCTATGTACGTGTACATTTGTACATGCCTCAGCTGGAAGGCACAGTGGGCTGTCTGTAATAGGCAGAGATGTTTTGTTGAAATGTACATGTGTGAGCAGGAGAGAATGGACATGTACGTGTACCTGAGTTTTTGTTGGTTCATGCTCAGAATGAACATGGGACATTTTTTCACTGAAAGTTTAATGTATTTCACTTCTGACAAAGTGGTGATGCCTAGTTTATATTTACAATTCTGCAATGCACATATAAGAACCAACCCTTCAAGTAAGAGTCTTCTATTCCAGAAGGTCAAGTAAGAGTTTTCTTTATGTATGGTATGGGCTCCGAGATGGACCAAGAGAGGGCACAATTTTCTGTGCAACGAAGGCTCGTTTGGTAGTTACTGCGCACCGTTGGTTCACAAACGACTTTGAAATGTAAGCGTTGCAGTCGCAGCATTACCAGTGCTGCTGCTCAGAAAAAAAAGTTAAAAGTGTCTAATTACATGTACTCTATGATGTGCAAATGCCACCATATTGAGTAAATAACAGGTTTCATCGCATTGTGCTGGACAACATCGGGGGTTTGTCAAATAAAATAAGAAATTATAAATATTGATAAAATATTAGAAAGTAATAAGCGAAGAATGTAAAGAATTGAAGTTGCTAAAAAAGTTACCGAAATTCCCAGATTCCAGGATTTTAAGTCATTTGCAAAGTTTCTGTGATTTCTGATGGAATGCTACAAATGTGATTACTCAGGGAAATGTCCACTTTGAGAGTGAGGACAAGGAGACCTGCTCCGTCAGCAATCCTGGGGAGCTGTCCACCATCGCCACGCTGCTCAGCGTCAGCCAGGAGGAGCTACAGACGGCTCTGTGCTACCGTGTGGTGGCAGCCAAGGGGGAAGTCATGGAGAAGAGCCACACCACGGAGCAGGCGTATTACGGCAGGGATGCGTTTGCCAAGGCGAGTGTACATATTAGGATTAGAAGTATTTATTAGGTGCAAATTCCATAGTTACATGTACTGGTATGATCAAATGCGTTGTACAACAAAGATGTATACCTTATTGACTTTAATGTGGTCTAGCCAAAGGTTTTCAAAGGCACCTAAGGCGGCCACCAAAGACCAATTTCAACCTACAGAGCACTAGAGATTGCAAATTTTTCTCTACACAAAGGGAGAAAAACTGCAGAACTTACAAACAAAAAGGCTTGTGTTCTGGAGAGAATAACAACTAGATTACATGTAGTTAGCTAGAGATTTAACCATGACCAAATCATTCTATAAGGCATCAGTCTGAAGACCGGGCTTCTCTTTGCATTGTCACTGCAGACTACCTGTTATGGGCAACATTTGGCCTTCAATCTACAGGAATAACAATGTGGGAAAAATGAGTGGGCATTTGTAATACCCTGCTGATTCTCTGTCCTGGTTGGCTGATACATGATCATGTGGGCTTCACTAGCTATTACAAGTTTGAAGGTATCACGCATGTGTAATTTCGGGGATGAGGTACTATGCCCAACGTTTTTGAGTGGTTACAGTGTCCTCACGTGATGTGAAAAGCAACTCAAAAACTACATCTAGGGAAACTAAAAGGATTCTGTTGATGTACACGTACCTGTTCAATTCTGATTACTCAAGAAAGGCATTCCTGTTTTATTGTTGGTTGGGGGTGAGGCCAAAGTAGCAGCGTCCATGAGTAGGATCATCTTCCACACTTTGACCCAACCAAGCATGACGAGTTAATACATGCATGTCAACCACGGAAATGAAAAAAGAATTCTTTAACAAGTGTATACATCCTCCGGTGAACAACATTTCATAGAAAAATTGTGTGTGTATGTACACACATCCTTACACAGCTATACGTGTGGGGTATTTCCTTTGTTTTCGTGTACAAAACTCCCACACAACACACACAAAATTTCAAATCACTCCAATTTAATCCAAATTCACTTTCCTGGGTTGAAATTTCAACCGTATGTCCCTTAGATAAAACACTTCAATTTGCGACAGATTTTTACCCATCAAAAATTTCCCCTTTTTGAGTTATTTCCAAATATCAGTTTCGTGAAATTCTTGTGGGGTACCAATTTTGGTACCCCATAAGGTAAAAACTGGCCTTGTGGGGTACTTCCCATTGTTCTGGTATCCCACAAGGCCCCATGTATAAGCGCATGTCATCTGGCGTCAAGTAGTTAAGAAAGTCTATTCACTTTGTTTCTTGCTACAGGCCATATATGAGAGACTATTTACCTGGATTGTCGGGATGATAAACAGTGCGATTGAAGTACGAGGGACCAGTCTAGAGCATGGCAAGAACACTGTCATAGGAGTGTTGGACATCTATGGTTTTGAAATCTTTGATGACAATAGGTATGTACATGTACCATTGTAGCAACATGTAAATGGGTTTCTAATTAATCATCAAATCATCACTGATAAATGTTTTTTAGCACTTTCTAATTCCGTGTTGCAGGAATATACAATATAAATCAGGGAAAGAATCATGTACATGTGTTTTGGTGGAACTTGAACCTGCATGTATGACCTTCCAGCTTACCTCTACAGTTCTCTGGTCTCTCAATCAAGGTTGTTGTGATGGGGTCATTGGACTGGCTTGTTTGAATATGTCACAATACTTTGCATCACTAAGAGGCCACCAAGGAAAGGCCATTTTTTGCAGTGCACTGTGGGAGATGGTCGACTACTTGAATTATTCCTGATATTTGTCTATCAGGGAAGAAATTAAGTACATGCACGTATCAGTGTATTCTGAGTTGAAGTTTTGATTAATCCTTTCTTCTTTGTTTTGCATTGAATGCTCCAATCTGTCAAAGATTTCTCCTACTTGAAGTTGTCTGCTGACGTGCTCTCAAATGCAAAATTGCAGCAAGGTGGCCATGCATTGCTTGACTATTTACTTGAAAAATGGCCCCTCTGTGGCAACCTCTGTATGGCTTACTGTTGTGGGAATCACTCTTATTTCACATGTACACGCGTGCAGCAGCAGGTACATGCACATTTACCACAGACAAGGACCAGTGATGGAGTTTTTGCTCTGGAAGGATATAAATTCTGATTTGGGATTTTACTATTATCCATACTGTCCACAAACAAGAGAAAGTTCTAGTAATCATTTATGTTTGTAGTATTGCACAGACCAGGTCGGACCAGGGTGCGTAATAACAGACCTCCCAGCACTGGGTATCAAGAATTCAGAATCCTTCTCCCCAAAATTCATACTTTTTCATGAAAATTCATAATATTATACGTAACATCATATTTCTCCTGTAAAAACTCACCGCATGGTACTTGCACTCTTACACAATGGTGGTCGATTCCACAGAAGGGTTTTGTCTTGTCACGGACCCTCTACTTGGTTCCAAAATGTTCTTCTGTCTGTAGCAAAACCGGACACCACGCAATGCAACATACAATGTAGCTTGTCAATAGAGGGCGTTTTATCACGTGATCATGTCCAACTCGCAGCAGGTACATGTCAAAAGAGGGTGCTGTAACGGACGTGGTTTGTTGCGGTACAGTTAATGTACAAGATTATGTGGACATTTTCCGATAACTGATAGGCACGTCAATATTGCTATTTGGCAGAAATTTTAGGGTCAAAATCGGAATGGCGGAAATGGAGTGAAACAGTGGAAATTTTCCGCCAAATGGGTTGGGAGGTCTGATGATACCGTAAATGTTGTTCACATTTGCATATCCCTATTTGCTGATCACTGTTCATCTCCCACAATACCTCTAGAGAATTTAGCAGTCACAGAAACGTGTTCTAAAAGCAGCGGCAACCAATTAAAAAGGAAGTAGCCAGGATAAAACTGTGAATAAGGAAAGTAAAATGAAATTGATCCTAATTTGACTGATATACACATATAAACATGTATGTTTTATGCAGAATACAACAAACCAATTGAAGAACAAACTTAAAAACGTAACATAAAAACAGCTATTTATTTAACAAAGTTTCAGCCATTCGGCCTTCATCAGGTTACGTATACATGGATTGTATACCTGCAACAGTTCAACGTGTACATGGAGATATCTCTTTTCTACGGAACTGGATCTTCTGAACCGTAAAAAAGACAGAACATCCAATTTACCCTAGAATCCTTTGTTTTCTGACAGTTTAATATGTCTTAGGCCACTCAGATTGTTACCAGTAAAAAAGAGTGAAGTGACGTGTTCTCCCCCCCTCCCGTATCCCCCAGTTTTGAGCAGTTCTGCATCAACTACTGCAACGAGAAGCTGCAGCAGCTTTTCATCATGTTGGTGCTGAAGCAAGAGCAGGAGGAGTACCAGCGAGAGGGCATTGAGTGGGTCACCGTGGAGTACTTCAACAACCGGATCATCTGCGACCTGGTGGAGGAGCCTCACAAGGGCATCATGTCCATGCTGGACGAGGCCTGTCTGAACGTGGGCAAAGTAACTGACCAGGTAAATCAGAGGAGGCGTCACGTCGGACTTGTCTTTATACGGTTGTAACAATTGCCTACAGCAGGCAAGACACCAGATGCAGACAGTGGCAAAATAGATGGTGTCTGATACCGTTCCGTGAAACATTCATTCTTAATGGCTTCCGAAACTCTGGAAATTGTCATTTGAAATGCCTGTTTAGGGGTTGATACCGGCTTTTGAAGCCAAAGTTGTGTTCCAAAATCCATGCATTTCGTTCATGATCAGCTTTTCTCTTGACGATTCGGATGGTATTTTCAAGGAAGGAGAATATGGGAAAAATGTGTTGCGAGAGTGACATCGTTGCATACCCATCATCTCAGCTTACATACCGTAATTTGCATGGTTACGTCTTCTCTCTGATGAAAGGGCTGCACGCAGGCATTATATACATGTACTTCCAGGATGAGACCTGTCTCAATTTATGCTAGGTCACTGGTTAGTTCAACAGACATGCAATGACAAATGACACGGTGACAGACACCTGGGATTCCATAATCACAAACCAAGAACACTGTTACGCAGAATCTGTACTGAAACATTGCAGGTACATGTACACTTATAATTTTTATGAACACTATTGCTCCCCACTGGAGTGTGAACACTTGAAATACATGTACGTTTGTGATTCATCTTAAAAATGAAAGTGTCTGGTTCTGTGTCTCGTATGAATATTACTGTGATTGGGCTTGAATTACCAGTCAGGAATGCAGACCTGAGGACGTGCATTAAACAATTAGTCATTTTTATTGGCACACATTAGGCAGCTTTCCACTGTCTTATGTACCCAGATGTTTCTAGAGGCTATGAATCAGAAGCTAGCCACCCATCCACACTACACTAGCCGCACCTTGAACCCTGCCGATAAGTCACTAGAGTACAACAGAGACTTCCGCATCAGACACTATGCTGGAGATGTCATGTAAGTAAAAACTGAACACGGCCAAAGGGTCAGGACAGTAAATACTTGCTCCCGTCTTCAGTGTTATTTTTGAATGAAAAACAGCTACATTGTAAATCCGTTTCCTCAGAGTGGACAGCATTTGAAACATAAGAAAAAGAAGAAAACTCGAAAAAGAAAAGAGCACTGTGCCCCCAAATAATTTACTTTAGAATGGGCATGTGATCACTCAGCCCTTGTCAGGTTTTGTACATACGTGTATATGCACTTCTTTTTAACTACACCGCAACACCTTTCTCTACTCTACAAAAAAACGTCGTGTGCCCGACAGAAGGGCGTAAGCGCTTAGGCCCGTTTGTCGGGAAGCATGATCACTGCAAAAAAACTTTTCCCAGCAAAAGGACGAAAGTATGCAACTATTAAATTTTAATGAAATACGAAGATTTCTGGGCAAAAAGTAAAAGTAAAAAATGCCCAAGTCCTTTGATTAATAAGTTGTTCAAAGGTTGCTTTTGTACAGCCCAGGTTGATTTTGTAGTAAATTATATCGGGTTTTACTAAATAAAGAGAGTGTGTTTCTTACACCCTTTTGCCGGGAACATTTTTTTCTGCTGTGATCATGCTTCCCGGTGAAAGAGCGTAAGTGCGCTTACGCCCTTCTGCCGGGCACCCGACGAAATGTGAGTTGATTGTTTAATGTCTACTACTAGTGTCATGTTTGAAAGAAAAAAAGTCTGTTGAAAAGCATCTTCATCCCCTCTGTTTTGGATATTCTGAACTTGGGAAACTCAAACAGGTCTTATTCTTGGAGCATAAACAGTAAATTCTGCCCCCCCCCCTGTTAGAATATCAAAAGCTACTTTGCCACTGCCAAGATAATGGAGCTTTTTGGAAGACTTCAACAGGTGCATTACAGGTGCATAGCCTTATCTTAATAAGGTGAAGTGCTATTTTTTGTGGGCTACATATAAAGGACTTAATTGCCAGTAATTATTACATACATGTAGTGGTTTCCTGTAAGCAGCTGATCATTTTCCCTCCCACAAGATTCTAAGCAATAACAAGTAATTATCAGAGTTATGTTTTGCACTTCATTGCATTTGAAAGTTAAACAAGGGTGAAAGGAATGAGACATTTTGTGCACAGAATTCATTTTCAAGTTCACACTCACATTTCGCAAGGCGTAAAAATGCGTTGGGAAAAGGCGTAAAATCGACATAAATCTTCCCAACATAAATCTTTCCAAAAAGATGTGAAAATGTTTTTTCACTTTTGGCAAATGTGTGAAAAACTGTTCCCACATGGGGAATGGTTTTTCCTGTCATGTGAAATGATAATGTGAAATGAAAATTTCCCATTCCCAGGTTAACTTTCAGTTGAGTGTACATGGACCGAAGATGTACAGGAAGTAATACCCATGAACCAACCTACAGTGCTTTGATCTTCTCTCATGCGTGTCTCACAGGTATGATGTGAATGGTTTCATGTACAAGAACAAAGACACGCTGTATCAGGATTTCAAGAGACTTCTGTTCCTGAGCTCTAACCCAGTCATCTCTGAGATGTGGCCTGAAGGACAGAAGAAAGTGACTGAGGTGTGACCGCTCGTTACTTTTGCTTCATTTTTCAATTGAACATTTTTGAGAACTTGTCCAAAATACATGCATGCAAAATTGTGCTGCCTCTCAAGTTTGAGTTAACATTTTGGAGACTTTAGTCAACTCTGTAAATAGTAGCACACGTTCTGTGCTTCTAAAAACCAAAAGGAACAACATATTCCCAAAAATGCAACTTTTTATTGGAAAATATGTAAATGGTGCATTTATACAAAAGATTTTAGGACTGTTGGGTTCAGTTCTATGTAACACAATGATAGTACATTGTGATAAAAACAAGTTGATTCACTTGAAGAACTGAAAGTGTTTTTTGCCCTGTCACGTATATGACAGGTAACCAAGCGGCCACTCACCGCAGGAACAATCTTCAAGAATTCTATGATTGAGCTTGTGAAGAACTTGGCATCAAAGGTGAGACTGGCATAGAATACGGCCATTTCACAATAGTGCACCACCAACAGTTTGTAACGGGTTGGCCAATCATAATGTGCAAAATCTGTCGACCCAGTGCACGTTTGGAAAGGGTCGGCAGATTTCATACGTTGTGATTGGCCAACACGCTGCAAACTCTTGGTGATGCACTGTTGTGAGTTGCCTGCATTATAGTGACAGCTCCGTAGATAATGTGTGTTTGTTTTACTAGGTGCCAATTTGTAAGTCGTGTTCAAATTTATGAATTTCTTTGAGTGATGACATGCTACAATGACTGACCATAACCCGAGTCAGGGTACCAGACATTGTCAGCTTCCATGGACCAAATAGACAGTGTGGGCACCAAGAAAAGTTGCTGCAGTGTGTGGGCTGATGTGCAAATCACGTGCGACTGAAAATTAAACTTGTTTTTTGTGTGTAAAATTAGCAAATCATTGCAAAAACTTGCCTGGTGAGATGTACATAAATGTAAGCTCATGACACTGGTTAAGGTCCTGTGTAACCTTGGGCGGTATTGCCTTTTTTGATACGCAGTATCCGTAAAAAAAATACCGCGGTATTTACTAATACCGCAGTATTCGTTGCAGAAGGTATTACGTCATCAAAAAGCAGCGGCGATGCTGGCATTCAAAGGCAAACCACAAACAAAGCTAGGGCCAGCATAAAGGGTATTTTAACATCACAAAACCTCTAAACTTAATAAATATTATAATTATCTGTCCATTTGATGTCAAATAAATATTATTTATTAAGAATAAAAAACCCGAATGGTGTTTTGAATACTGATTTGTTGCTCTGTGATTCCTACTGTGTGGTCACTCGTATGCTGTGAAAATCTGCACGTGTACTACAGTCAAGTTGGTACTCGCTGAGACAGTGCGTTATTGTAATGATTACGTGCCGGTCACCAGTGGCTGCTCCTCTTAGCTGCGCCTTAACACTGCGCGTGTGTAATAGTAAGGTGGCTTCCAGAAAACTCTGCCACGTGGGTTGATGGCTGCATGCTGAAGAATCACGTTACATCTTATCTCCTCACCAAAAGAGACAATACGAACACAATGCTGGGTGACTGAAACCACAAAGTATGCAGTCACTGTTGTGGATATAATTGTCTGCTTTCATCTTATGAGGGTTGTGGGAACATTCTGAACAAATTAGCCAGAATACCGCGGTAGTAAAATTCAATACCGAATTAGCCGGTATTCCGGTATTCATGGATTGTTAGTCGGTATTGTTCAGTATTTAAAAAAAAAGCGGTATTCAGTGATATCAAAATACCGCCCAAGCCAACTCCTGTGTGAAGCATATTTGAAGTACGCAAAAAACCTTTCATCCCACCAAATCTGCCAACACCCAGTCATCTCACACATATTCATCATCTATTTGTCATCAGGAGCCGTTCTACGTCCGCTGCATCAAGCCCAATGAGGCCAAGTCACCCCTCCTGTTTGACCAGGAGCGATGCCTTCACCAAGTCCGCTACCTGGGACTCTTGGAGAATGTTCGGGTGCGTCGGGCAGGCTTTGCATCTCGTCAGCACTACACAAGGTTCCTGCACAGGTTAGTGCATGAAACAGTGGCACATTACATCAGGATCAAGTTGAAATGTTTTCCATATTGTAGTCTGGTCTTCGTCATCAGCGTAACAGGATTTTTTGCCCCAGGAATGTCAAATCGTATGCTGTTGGCTTTATAATGATTGAAGTAATATGCATTAAGCTTCATTGGTTATACATGCACCGGTGCATGAACAAACAGGGTTGATGTCAAAGACATAGCCTGAATCGAAGCTGAAATTTTGGACATCCCTTTGATCAAAACTTGCCCACTTGCTGTGTGGGGACTGGTAATTACCTCAAGGCTTCATTACATGTGTAATTTCTCCTTCCCTTCTCCAAGCTGTTCTTGCCCATGGCGTCTCTCCTTCACAGAGGCTTCTTACCTCATACTTGACTGCTGTCTTCACCTCCATGCAACTTCTGATAGGAGCAGCCGATAAAGACATACATCTTCCATGCAGTCTTGTTGGTTTTGCAGTTGGGTACACACTTGCAAAGATTGTACTGTGCCTATTTATCTGTCTGTATGTATTCAAATGGAGTATAGGAAGTGGGGATTTATGCACCAGTTACATCACCAGGTTTTTTTTCCTTCCTTTAGGTACAAGATGCTCTCTCAATTCACCTGGCCAAACTTCCGGGGAGGCGCCGACAGACAAGGTGTGGAGCTCTTGCTGCAAGAGAAGCAACTGGAGGACGATGTCGCCTACGGTAAAACCAAGCTGTTTATCCGGACACCGCGCACCGTGTACGCGCTAGAGGAAGCTCGTGCACAACTCATACCCCATATCGCTGTCTTCCTACAGAAGGTGAGTGGATCACTTTTAATATGCTGTCCCATCATGAAGCTAGTCAATGTATTGGTTGTATGCCAGAACCCGCTTTCTGCCAAAGCTGTCGCACAATTTTAAGTTCAGTTTATCAGAGTAATGATAATTAGGTTTATTGACAGGAAATGCAAACTGGAAACATTCAGATGCACTTCGCAACTATTATTAAACCTGGCACATTATTGAAGTGTACGTTAAAGCTAAAATATATCAAAGATTACCCAAATTCCTTGATTCATTGAAATTACAATTTAACATCAGAGTTACACCAAAAGGACATCAGTGAAAATGAATATGAAATCAAAAATGAAATCCACATTAAGGGTCATGGCATTTATTTTTTCCAAATTTTTGTCAATTGTACTGGCACTTATTTTTTTTTAAATGCAACAATTGAGTCTTTGACTTCAAGTATTTTTTAAACTGAAATGTTTGGAATGAAATAAAATAAACCACAAATAAAAAGCATATTGACATGCACTTTTATATCTCTAACAGTCCTTAATCCTCCAATCTTGACTTGATTTGCACAGAACCTACATGTACAGGGTTCGGATTTCACTTCATTTTCAAACCTCTGTATACCTAGGGTACTCAGATTAAATTTCATTTTAAAACCTATGTCCACTCTTGCTGTAATGTCGCTGGAGATATATTTTTTTTTCAAATACAAACATACATGTTCATTATGTTCCGATATCCAGAACCCTTTCAGTAGCTATCTGGTAATACTAGTGGGGACAGTCAAGCGTTGTACCTGCAACTATATGTAATCTTGCTAAACACAGACATGTGGTGCAAAACATGAGAAGAAATTGTCTTTTTTCTGTCCATCTGTACATTACAAATTAACAAACAACGTGGTGAAGACTTACATTCATGTCAAGCTTTGCATAGCAACTAGTGTATACTGTCTATGCACTTACAGCAGACAATTTGCGCATGATGTCATAAGACCACACAACATGTTGACCCATCAGGTAAAGTATGTGAAATGGCTTTGACAAAGTGAATGGAATCACGCAGTAAGAACCCATGGTTTACATGCATATCCATTAATCTGCCAGGTCTGGAGGGGTACACTAGCCCGACAGCGTGCCCACAAAATGCGCGCCATCTACCGCATCATGGCTTCCTACCGGCACTTCAAAATTCACCGCTACCTGTACAAGCTGCAGGACACATTCCGAGATGTCAAGAATCTGAACGACTATGGGAAGAGCCTGGAGTGGCCAGAGCCCCCGAAGGTGTTGAAGAAATTCAACAGGATGATGCACAAAAGTCACAGGCAGTATGTGAGCAATCCCAGCCAAAGTGATTAACCCCTTCGCACCGGTAAATCCTTTGACTGTGACTGCTGGGCTGTGGTATGCCCTGAATGGAGGGCTTTGTCCATCAGCAGGTCCCATTGAACCAGCAGCTGCATGGTGAATAGACTGTGTGTGTGGTATGCACTAATCCTCACACAAAGCCGCGGCTCTTGCCGTCTCCCGGAGCGAAGGGGTTAATAAGGAAATAAATATGTGCTTGGACGGTCTTAAACGTGCATATATAGGACTGGCTGAGGAGAATGGACACAACTAATGACCGAGCGAGGGCCTTATCAGCATTCAGTCTCCTGGGCCGGCCTTTAATGTTAGTTTAAGACTGGCCAAACACGTATTTATTCTGACTCAGAAATACCTTTTTAGTCAGAGAGTCAAAAGTAGTCAATACATGCTGGATTTCCAACAATTTTGTTCTAGAATTTGACTCTCATTTTCCAGAACACCCCAACCATTTTATGGCATATTCCTTTTGCGAGTTGTCCAATAGAATGATATGGACTTGGCGAGCCGCGTGCACACCGTCTCTTGACCAATCAGAATCAATGAAATTGTCTGGTATCCAAGCACCAGCGCGTGATTTACGCAGCGGGCATTATCACTTCTCAGCGGGCATTTTCAAATGTTAATACACGGTCATGTTGCAGGGATAGGAGACCGTCTGAGGTATTTATGATTATCAATTTACCGGAGGGCATCTGCAAGGCACTTATTGTATTCAGGAAAAAGGTTATGTGATATTTTTCTTCCTGTTCTTTGTTTCCTGTTTACAACTACCACCACAGGTTTCTGTGAAGCGTACATGTGTATAACATTTATGGTTTCATTGTGCAGGTTTTTAGGATATGAGTTAGAGTCGTGGCAGTGAAGAACATGATTACCTTTATGCACCAGCAGCGTTGTTGTTTTGATTGCAGGATTTTAGGCTTTTGCTTTGAAGCTATTTCCTTATTTTCTGTTTTGCATACAACACAAAAGTACAGCAGTGTGCCTGTTTTATGAGAATATAGAGCTTATGGTTCAAACAAGTACTTGCATACATGTTCATTCTAGCATGTGATTTCGCTTTGAAGGTGTGTTTAACAAACCTCTACTCTGTAATACGGCCCTTTTCAATAGTGTGCCTCCGAGAGTTTGCAACGCATTGGCTAATCACAACGCATTAAATCTGTCGACCCTTTCCAAACGCGCATTGGGTCGACTGATTTCGCGCATTGTGATTGGCCAACGCGTTACAAACTCTTTGAGGCACATTATTGTGAATTGACCATATTGAAGGCTTCAAAATGTGACGGAAAAGGTCAGGAAATGGTGCTTAGGACAGTTGGCATAGAGATGAATACATGTTTGTATGCATGAGGGACGGCATGTAACTGGACTCGGAATCCAGATTTGTGTCTGTGAGTTCATATTCCAAATTTCCCTCTCCAGCTGAACAACACCTGCTGAATGTCCATAGATAATCACTACACGCACATGTACATACAACTGAGAATCCTTGCTTTTGTGTCATTTTGCATACATATTTGTATGGATCCATACCCATATGTGTATGATACTTGGATTTGGGAGTGAAGGAAAGCCAAGCCCCCGCCCCCCCATAATTACGCCACTGCCTTTAACACGTTGACTGGCACGCGTAATTTCAAAGGGGCATTCCCACTTGCCAAGCGTTGTGCATTTACAGATGTATGTCCTCCACACTGCCAGCAGTTTATTTGTTTTGCTCTTCGGTGATGCCATTGTTTTCAATTTACATTACAATAGCCTCTCATTTCCTACGAGTATACTCATGGGAGAATCTGGTACACCTGTGACTATGAGTATACTCGCAGTCGGCAATCTACGTGTTCACTCAAAAGTACCAGCAGCTCTTACAACTTGCAACTCGTTGATGATAGTTTATTCAGAAATAGAGGCCAATGACTTCCGAAGAGCAGGAAAGAGCATTACATGTAGTTTTAGGGGGGAGGAGCGACGTTAAGTGTTGACATGTTCAAGTTGTCTTTCACAGATGGATGTGCCGCCTGGTGTTGAACCGACTTCCTAAGGATGACTGGCCCGAGATGAAGCTGAAGATTGCTGCCATGGATGCCCTCAACGGACGATGCCAAGACTGGGGCTACAAGAGAAAATGGCAAGGCAACTATCTCGCATCAGTAAGTTAGAGTTTGTTAACCAATCAGCTTGATTTTACTACACCAAAACAGATTCTGTGTTTTGCTGTGTCAAAGAGGTTGTTTCTAATTAGATTTGTGACTCAAAGTAAGAAAAGCCAATGATTAAGAATTCCCTAAAGTATCACTGGTTGCCATGTGTTGTGACCATAGATGTACCTTTCTTGTACTCTGATTGGCTTATCTTTAGCTCGTATACAGTACTTGGTACCAATTTGTCTATATGCCACATGTACAAAAGTCAGCTTAGCGACTTTTCACTGCCTACCACATTAGGATTAAGTTTCCTTAACTTCATGCATTGCTTTACTTTTGCCTTTACAAGGGTGGTGTTAGGTGAGGCATTGGCCCCGAACACTTTTTGGAGGGCATTGGTAAAAAATCCATAAAACTGCAGACTCCCAGTAGGATCCTTTGATGATGCTGTGTAGCCTATCGAAAAGAGCCAGTAGGGCAGGCCATGATGCATGGTACAAACCGGCGTGCGCGTGCACCATGGCAGGCTCGTGCATGCATGGCTCTGATGAGGAAGTGTCAGTGTTTTAGTCGAGTGCTCTCTGAGTACCAAGGTTCTCTGCCAAATATTGAACTGGGTACAAGGGAATAAAGCTGGAGTACTTAGGCCCTCGGTGGTAAATGCGCAAAGGTATTAAAGATTACAAACTAAATGTACGACTTCAGACACTCCCAATTTTGTCAAATTTAAGTTTTTAGGAGAAAAGTACTCGGAAAGTACTCAACTGACTACCTTTCAAGTACTTTTCGTCCTGGAAACTTAATTTTTAATAAGCAGTGATAGTCTGAAGTCATACTTTCACTTTGTAATCTTACCTTTGTACATGTACAATGTACCATCAAATGCCCATGTACTTCAGCTTTGTTCCCGCCTAACTGGTTAAATTATTTGGCCGAGAACTTGGCACTCGAAAAATACTCAACTACAACACTGGGATGTAGTAGTGGACCATGAGGTGCAATCGTGAGTGAAGTGGCATTGTGGTGCTTTGATGCCGATTTTAACATAGTTTTATTTTCCATCCTTTTGAATTTCTCAACAAAATGACAACATATTGTATTGAATTTTATAATGGACTCAAAAAGAGATCTCTCCACATGATGGTACTGCAAGCCCTCTCTTTTATGGATCTTGTTTAAGTGAAGCCCAGCTTTGCTGTAAGAATGTTTTGCCATGTTCGAAAAGCTGACCATGTTTTCCAAACATCTGCCTGTGCAAATCACGGCTGCACGGTGGCTGAAGAATTTTTGAAAACGAGTGCAGATGGAGTTTTCATCAACTTCTTGTTGGGAAACTCTCATTAATGCATCTGTGACAAGGAATTGTGTAGTGACTGCCTTTAAGGATATTACAGATCATGCCTTAGTGAATGCTCATCTGCTGTCTCCCACAGATCTCAGAAAACAACCAAACTGCCCCGTTTGTTTCAATGTGCAACCAGCTAAAGAACAAAGACCACTTCAACCAAATCCTGTTCTCGTCCTCTGTCATAAAGGTAATGAAATGACAAAAAAGAAGAACATTTTGTGTGTTTTAACGTCATTTTTACAAGTCCATATTGTTGTGAAATCAATTGGCGAGTCAACCTTTCATCAGTAAATCTTGATTATGTGATCATGTATGTCTGCCTTGCATTTACTTTGTTAAAAATGTAGCTTATGACGTCAAACTGACTGATTGAAAAAGAGAAACGGTTCTTGTCAGAACCACACCCTTCTCAATGTGGCTTTTCATACATGGTGTTTCCGCAAACTATCAGATTCCACAATATAAAGCTGCAGAATTGCAAAATGGTAATTTAGTCCACAAACTCGAGTGGACTTTTCACACCATGGGAAACCAAAACTATAAAATAACTGTTTTTCTGTTGTATTTTTCCCCCAAAGATCAACAAGCACAACAAATGTGCTGACCGAGCGCTGCTGGTCACGGACAAGTTCATCTACAAGCTGGACCCTAAAAAGGGCTTCAAGCCAATGAGGATAGGCACTCACATGTCGGAGGTGATTTGAAGTCTGGTTGGAGATTTTTAGTAAATTTGTTTTTGCAGTAGCTATTTTATAGTTTCATCATTGTCCTTTATTTCTATTCTCATTTCTGCTATGATGAGATCTATGATAAAACTCATAGTATTTGCCCAAGTATAATTCAGTTGCTCACTGAGAGGTGACTGAAGGAATTGCGTGGCTTCTTATTTGGAATCCTGGAATCCACGTTTTGGAAAAGACAATATAATGAGAACTAACCTCTAGGCCACCCCAATTAAAATTGCTTCAGGAGCTGCACAGGTTTTCTAGCAAGGTCTTATTAATAGTGTTCAAAGAATAATGGGTCCGTGTCAGCCCAGTGGATATGTTTGTTCTTGATCAAGGCACTTTGACATATCCTCTGGGAATCGCGCATCAATGTGTGATCAAAGTTTCAGATGCGTCTGTGTATGTTGCGTCTTTGGATGGATGTTTACATAATTGTGCGCATCTATATAAACACCTAGAGTAATGTTATGTATTCAAATCAAAGTTGCGGCTGATCTGCTGAAAACTGTCAGTTTTGAGTCTTTCAGGATTTCAAGGTATAACAGAATAAAAAACAATATCTAGATAATTGCATTGATGTGTTTACCCCACAGTGCTTTTTAAACAGGTTTTTAGGTTGATGCTCTTGTTTGTGCTGTAGTCTGGTTTTTCTCTTTTGTTGTGGACACGTCTCATGGCAGATACGTACAGAAAATGTCAGAGGGATGGGGAGAGATACTCCACACGGGCAGCTTATTGAAAAGGTGACATGCCAATCCCTGGATATTCAGTTTGGTTCTTTTCAATGACAGGTGACTGGCATGAGCATCACGCCCGGCTCCGACCAGCTGGTGATTCTGCACCTGTCCGGAGACAACGACATCGTGGTGGGGCTGACCAACACCCGGGGGGAGAACAGGGTGCCCGAGCTGATCGGTGTGCTGTGCAGACAGTGGATTGAGTAAGTTAAAACTGAAGCTAGCAGGTTTTTTATCTGATCAGTGTACAATCCTTTGTCCTGATTGGTTGACCCATGGCAACCAACCCTGCAATATGTGGCCACATACCACGGTCCATACCATATTCTGTGTATTGCACTGTAACAAGGTGAAGCAAATCGCATCCCTCACTGGAAGAGAGAGGGACGCAATTTGCGGCACATGCCTAGTCCACTGAAAATTTAAAAGTGGAGCTTGTACATCAAGCTTGCTAGAAGGTACGTGTGTAAATGCAGTCATTCTACAGCCTTGTTGTGGGTACGACGTTGCAGGATTGACTCAAACCCATGCTTGTTGATAGCCATGGCGGCTCGTTGCAGCAGACACACATTGCTGCATTTGTCTCTTTCATTGGTTGTATTTTTTGTCAGATTTTGATTCATAATTTTAATGCTCATTTTTTTTATTAATGGCTTATTTTAGGATTTTTTAATCTAGTTTAAGTGCTTAGTTTTGGTGTGTAATCTTGTATTTTATGCTTAGATTTTAATGTTTAACTTGGAATTTCTGAGACTTTATATGAAGAGGTTTTGAAAAGGCATGTCTCTGAGAGCACACTACATGTTTAATAATTATCATTTCTGTTATTATAAGAAAGTGTGCCTTCCAGTTGATGATATGTGTATGTCGATCTATTCAGTGGGCATCCTGTGACTTTCACGCTTGGAAAATTACAGACCTTCCAAATAACACAGCGTAATGTTCATGTACAGATCGAAGAAACGAGAACTGCGGCTGATCGTCACCCCGACCCTGAACTGCCAGCTGGGTAAACACAGGAAGACAGTCAGCGTCCAGAAGGTCTCAACCGACCGGCCAGTCTTCAAGAAAGAGGGTCAGAATTTAGTACTGCTGTGGCCAGTTGAGGCCTGAAGAGTTTGGGCAGGTCACGTTTGGCGTCTTTTGGAATAGGCTGCTTAGCATTTTGCAGCCCTACTTCCTCGTTTTGGGGGGCAAATTTTCTCTTTTATATTGTGGTGGACAATTTTGCCGTCAGGAAAGTTGATCTGTAGTTTTCACATCCAGATAATTTGGTTCAGGATTATTTATAAAAGAGATTGGTTTTTAATATTCCACAGCTCAACTTTCACACTCAAGCTGCAGTTCTGGCATGTTTCTCACGGCAGCTGTTGCCCACTTTCTTGTTGTAATCTAGCCAAGTTGTAATATCCCTCACAAGTCTTGTCATAGTAACAGTCTGTGATAACTGACGATGGAATGCCTTTGTCATTGTTAATATGAATAGGTCACGACTTACATTGTGGGATTCATAATGTATTGACAGCAGCACTAAAGCCTTTGTAGACTAAAGATTTTGGCAACAGGAATTTGGCACATACCAGCTAAATGAAAATATGTATCAAATTTTTTCACATGGGTTTTTGTTTAAAAAAAACACAATTCCTGAATTCCAAACAACTCCAGATGTGCCGTTGTGCCAGTGTTAACTGCAGGCGAGTTTGGGTTTCCTTAAAGTCTGGACTGTCTTTCAGTATTTACGAGTTTGCTTGAGTTAACTTCATCTTTAACAAAAACTATGAGGGATGTTAATACCTTTTAACCGTAACACTCCCAAATCCTCCAATTTCAATACGATTTTACATACACCCTTGGGGGTAAGGGTTAAAGGGTATGTTTGTAGCCCTTTACTAATATGCACCTATGGACTGGCAATGATGAGGCATAAGTACATGTCTATTCACCCAAGGGAGGGTCTTTGGCCTCGGGGCAACAATATTTTGTGGTCACAACGGAGCCAGAGGGGGCATAAGTCTGCTCTATGTGACCAAATTATGCCAGTTTTTGGTGGCACACCTCTTTCCAAAGTATAAAATAAGAAGAGCTTTTCAGGGTTTTATAACTGAAGGCACAGTAACTGTCAACAAAAAACTTAAATATGGTGTCTGATGGGGCACTGTACGTGAAAACTATGCGTGTGCGATCTGTCTTGGACGAGTTCACACTGGAGCGGATTTCACACACTAGTTGATATTTGTGAACCCACATGACCATGTTTCAGCCAACCAGGATTGAGAACCAGCAAGAGGTGGATCACAGTATGCTCTTAGCACTGTGCACTGAGTGCTGTAAGAGAGTTGGTGCAGAAAACAGTCACTTACCGTTGTGGGACTCGAACCCCAAACCGTCTGCCTACTAGTGCAGCCATCTCGGCCAAATTTCAGATACCAGCTCGGCAATTAAATTACAACTTCTTCTGGGTTCTCCTTCACCCATTTTGCTTAAAATGGATCTTTGGATGAACTGCAGTCAGTTTAAGCTGGTTGTGATGTTAAGGTGACTTTCCTAGGAGGCTTAGTTTGTCTCAGACTGATTGAGCGAGTAGGCCTATATGTGGAAGACCTCACACTTTGCTTATGTTTCCACTTGCTTATGGGGGCCAGGGAAGGACTATAGATTTTAAGCTCCCTAGGAAAGCACACACAAACAAAACATGATGTCATCAGAATGTACTGCAGGCTTATTACTACTTTGGAAGGAATTCTCAGGTAAGATTATACCACACAGTGCCAGCATGTAATGGGCAGTGCAATTGTTCAGGAACCTTATAGTCAGGTTTTGAATAGCTTTGCAGTTGTGAACACATATATGTATTATACGTACGTGAATTGTTGCACTTCGCCCGCTTAAGGTACAATTGAATTTTGCACATTATTTGAAAAGATTGTTTACTATGCCTGAGCCCTAACCTTTCCATCCACTTTTTTTTACCACCATAGGCAGTGTAGCCCTGGCTCATAGACAGTGCCTATTTAATTTTGTGCTGTGCAAGATGAGTTGCATCTGACACTCTAGATTTTTAATTACTTGAGTCGTGTGTGGTTGAATGTGGGAAGGATCACCTTGTCATGTTTTTCGTACTGTGTTGTCGACCAAAGAGGAGAGATTTATTTTGAGAGAATTTCTCTTTATATTTTATTTTTTTCTTGTCCGTTTAATAGTGTTTGATTTGAGTACTTTTAGCTGGTTTTGTGTGCGTCTTTGCACCTGTAGAGATTGCATTGTACTTTGGCAGAGTAGAGTTTTCTTTATTATAAGACCTGATTGATAAAAAAGCAAGTAGGTAATCCAATGACAAAATGGTGGGTTTTGATAGGTTTATGTATATGTGTGTGCTTAGAACATTTTAATCAAGGAGAAAGGAAATTGTTCGTTGAAAAGATAGATTTCAACTTACATGCACTTTTTATACAAACAGTACAAGGGAAAATCTAAAGATGGAAGCCCACTCTACTTTTTTCCTTTGTCCACTACCATGAAGTGGGCAAAAGAGGAATTTACGAAATCGTGTGAACGACTTGAATATGACCAATTTACAACATGCAGTTGTATTTTGTTTAAGTCGGTTTGGTGATAAATGTTGGACTCATGATGTACGCTAAATTGGCTTGCTTAATACCCACAGTGCATTTTGTTTTATAATAATTTTTGATATAGTACAGTACTACCGCACTACCAGATCATTGATGAGGTCAGGCTTAGCATCACTCATTGTACTGTTCCAATTTATGCTCTTTTGGGGGAATAAAAAGGCTATCTGATCGCAGCATCCTGATTTTAATCCACACATCTTTATGGTAATTGTGCTATTTTGTTGTTATTTTTGAATCTGTCTATTGCCAGTGACTCACATAGCAGATTCATTCCTTTTGGCAAACAAACCAAACAATGTTTGAGGGTACAAAGTTTGACATCCAAAAAGAGCACAGTGTATAACTGAAATTTTCATATGCATATTTGAAATATCTGAAAACACAAATCTTGAATGTTTTATAAAAGCAGCACTGGAAAAAGTTATGGGTGTTAATAGGCCTTGACTTATATTTTATATCTTAGAACGAACTTTTTCGTACCTTTTTAGATACTCTATTTTATTAGACCACATTTAGTGCAAATCAAGAAATAGTGTGCATAAACGCAATAACTAAAAATAGCTTCTTGAAATCGAGAGTATGCCATGTATTGAATAAATAACGTTTAATTTTATATGAATATTAATACTATATGAATTGTACAGAAGAGTCTTATAACTGAATTTAATTGTAATTTTCCATTGCCATCAAATATTAAAAAACAGCCGCATATTTATACTTTGCATGGAGTTTAACTTAACCAGAGTTGAGCAACTCAAGAAATGTAGATTAATATCTATTTGATTTTTACGTTATTGTGTTTGGTATTGAACTTTAAAATTAGTGGAAATGTCATTATTTAGTTTCCTGGACTGTAAAAATTGGCGAAGCTTACAGCACCTGCTAAAGATGTGTTTTATTAGTGTACTAATAGCATGACAGCAAATGCGACTAATCTAATGACAAACATTGATTTTTACGCACATACTTATTGATAGAGCACTTGACTTACGGATACGTTGTAGTGCCGTCAGTGTTTGCCTTCAGTGGTGTTTTGACGTTGATTTTTTAGTTTGAAGTTTAAGTATGTAACCTTAAAAGGTACTTTGTTCATTGTGTGTGGGGGCTACATGTGCATTGAGTATTGATAACACATTGCTTACTCAGGTTCATTGGGGGTTTGCTGTAGATAATTAAAAGGCACCAAGCGAGCTCTGAGCTCTCTGAATTACAGATTTCAAATGCTAAGAAGTACTACAGGTGCGGCGGAGTACGGTACATGTATATGCGTTTGTAGTCAGAATGAGCCAGTTGGGCATTTCAATGAGGCAAGGTCATTCGAGAGCAAAGCACACAAGCATGAACATGGGCAAGTGTAAACAGTCATGCGGCCGCACTGATTAGGCCGACCTTGCACGCGCTTCGTTTTGGGCATGCACTGTTGGAATACCGAACTGGCTCGTTTACCTGCTGGCCTATGAGCTAGACCAAGAGAGGGCGCATTTTCCCGAGCAACAGAGGCTCCTTTAGTTGGAACTGCACCTCGCTGGTTCACAAACGATTACGAAATGCGCGCGTTACAGTCGCGTCGCTACCAGCAAAATGATGAGGGGGTGCACCTGCTCAAAACGGAGGCTGGTAAAGCGCACTCGCCTAACCAGGGAAGCCACTGGGTACCGACTTCATACAGTTTGCCTAGACGCATGTGTCAAGTGCAGCCACAGCAATGCAACTTGGACACGGCCATCATTATTGTGATTCCCGGCACGCACTTACTTTCACGTAAACTTGCCTGCTTTTCAAAACGTATTGTCTGTCACTGACAGCATAACGCCTTAGTACAGATTTGCTTTAATTCTGTGACGGAACGTTGGTTACTTTTTTGAAAAATCTTACCCTATTTTTTGTGCTTGATAAACTAAGCAAACCAAAGCATACAATAAAAAGGTTTTGTTACTTTTGTTTCTTGTTTCCATTTATTGTAATAAACTTTTGCAAATACGTGTACTGCATTTTTAAGTAAGGGCAAATTTAACTTCTGCATACAGTCTTCGTGATGTGATTTTTCCCCTCAAGAAAAATGCCAAAGAATTGGGTTTCATCATGTGCTGTTTAGGAAGTTGTATTAGGAAATTCATGGTTTTCATCATTCGATATTGTGTAATGCATTACATAAAAGATTTCCTCAGAAAGTGAAGTTGTAGATTTAAGTGGACTTAATTTTATAGGCAATAAAAAGTGCCTCAGGAACACTGAATTTAAAGTCCTTAAATTTAAGTTGTTAATATCTAGATTAATAAAAAATTGCATGTATTATATCCTTTAAGTTGAATACTGTGCATGTCATGTGTAGTGTACAGAGAAATGTTTTTAATGTAGTATGGATAGCGTGATTTATGTACTGATTTGATGTACATGTGATTTCACAGTCTCGTTGTGAAGGAAAAATCGTGCAGGCAGGAGGTACAGTGGTCTGGCAATCTTCTTGCAAAACTGGAACCGTATCATTCTGCACACTTCGAAAAGCCACGAATTGTGCTCGCCTTTCACTCGCATGCGTTCGAGTTCCTCAAGTGCCATGCCAAAAACGGATGTTTGAAGTATTTGACATATACTATGCTGTAATTCTTGGTAAGTTAAAAGAGCAGTACTTGGCCTGAAAGCCAATAGTACCATACCATGCGAATTAAAAATTCTGTTATGGACGCAAGCCAAAATATAGCTCTCTTTTTTTGATAATGCATTGTTTTGTTTTATTTCTGTCGAATTCGAGTATAACTCGAATTCCGAAATGTAATATTGAAAACAGATCTTGTATTGTTGTTTTATCGTTGAAAGTCATGAGTAAATGCGTAAGGATACCTTTTTATTGTTTAATATAACAGTTCAGAACGTAAACTGTTGATTAAGTTCAAGTACAAGTTAAATACTGCACCTGTTTCTACCCATTTAGTTTTGAGTTTTTTAAGAATCTAAAGACTTTGAATCAGTTTGATTATAAAGTAAGCTGTACTTGTGCGTTAAACCTGGTAAAAGTATTTTTAGGGGATTTAAAGATCTTCCTGTTACTCGGTGATATGAGATGTTTTTGTCTTGTAGTTAGATATTGATAACAACACGAAATTTCTTTTGATGATGGGAAAAGCCTTTATATTTCGGGGGGCGATATGGTATCCGTCCAATCCAATAGCAGTTTGTTAGGAAAACTAGCGCACAACGTTTGTATGGCCCTGTCCCAATTAGGTGCAGTCTTAGATTTCAAGGAATCTCATGATCGCACACACGCCTAAAATGGAAACTCCAAAATGTTCCTAAACGTTTTTGAAATTTTGCAAAAAATTCGATCCACCCTTAAAGCAAGAGACATTAACATTGACAGAGCCATGGAACATGTATTCCATCGCGAAAGTCTGGTAACGATTTGTAGGCATACCGCACGTTATGTGCGGACACTATGTACCCATCACATCCCTCTGTGATCGAAGTTCTAGTTCAGTGTATGGGTTGACATACAGTGTATCTTATCTGTACTGTTATACTGGAAAACCCAAACATTGTCAAACCTTACAATAATTCTCACCTTGAGGTATGCAAATAAAATGTACATGTATTTCTACCTACTGAGTACCTGATGTTGGTGTCGCACATGCGTTATTTTCTTTTCGGAACTGTTTGCTCGATAGTTATGAATGGCAGTTGATGTGCTGGGATGATTTTGGATGAGAGAGTAGGCGCCCTTTTGTATTTGGAATGGTCGCTTGAAGTAAAGACTTTTGATTTTTGGGGGGTGGCATACTTGGGCATGTATAAAGAGTAACGGTGTAGGCGCAGCTGGACTACATCACAAACCCCCGATTGCGGATAATCTTCATTTGGACGTACAGGATACCTTTCTCGATGCGTCTGTGCAGGGGTTTATCGACTCAGCACGGTGTCCTATACAGTCCTCGGAAGATAACGTAAAAGAATTGGGCAAACCTTGGTTCAAATCGGTTAAGAGCCGTTACCGCTTTGCTTTGGCTTCTGGCGTGTGATGGAAGGTCGATGCCAGAATTCATGATAAAATGGTCATAATTTTACAGACTGACGCGAAGCAACAATTTGGGCGACAGTAATGACTTCCTGAATGTATATACTAATGCATGTTACAGCTTCCTACCCACTATCCATCATGGCGCCCAACACTGACCTTTACCAGAAGTCGAAATGACATGCTTATTATGTCAAAGCACAAAATGAGGCCCACTTCCCTTTGTTCATGTGGGCCTTTGGGGCTGGATGTGATCTTCTAGTCTGGAGGCCCCACTGCCGTGCCCACAATCATTCCAGTGCGTACACAAGGGCTTGCAGATTGCTCAAGTCGCTAGGCCTAATCGGGCACCGGCAAACACGCATATCAGGGAGCGAGGTTGCACTGACCGTTCACGCGTGTTATTAAACTGCACACCGAACTGCACCGCGTATGCATCGCAAGGAAGGTGGATTAGATACACTCGGCCAATTACCGACTTGATTTCAAGTCTAAGTTTGATACCACGTGATACACGAATCGCGCTGTGCGAAGCGACAGCCGTGGAGATCAAGAACAAGATCCAAGTCCCAATTACCAACTAACGAGTAGCCCCACCGTTTAGGACACAAAACGGAGAGTCTGTTGTGATGTCTTGATGACCGTGAGTATTGGTGCATGTCAAACTGCTTGGTACAGCTTAAAGAGAACGGAAACGAGAAACAAAACAAGAAGCCACAAAACAAGAGGGCGTAAAGGTTATCCAAATTTTAGTGTCAGCAGCGACTAATTATGGTTTTTACGGTTTCCTCACCGGCTAGTCAGATCCATTAAGCAGCTACATTAAGTACGAGTCTACTGCCTCTGGCAAGGCCTTAAGGGCCCGTTAATCGTGAAAGGAATGCGTAAAAAAAGGAGGAAAACAATTGTGCAGATGACACATCTTAACCTGACACTGACCCTAAACACTATAAGCGTAATTGTTAGCCCTGGATGTAGTGGATGACAAAGTAATGGAGGCTTGCAAGTGGGCCTCGCGTAGGGAATTTCCGAAATTTAACAACAACATGGGACAATTTTGAAAACGTTTAGGGAACTGATACTATACACTAAGGCATTCTGCGTTGTCGTGCCTATTATATTGTGTGTGTTTTTGCCTGTTTTACAGTGTGAATTTCTCTGATCAGGTATTTTGACTTACATTGGTTCTGTAGAATAAAACCACCGCCGCAAAGTTCCCAGAATACGCGATTTGTTACCATTTCCCCCGGTTGACTAAGCACTTTGCCATCGTTTGTTTGCGTACAGCTCAGAGATTAAACCACTAAATAATGCTCATTTCTTTCAGTGTTTTGTTAATAACAAAAGCTCAGACATTTAAGCATTACTCCAAACACCTAACAGCATGCACAATGATGTCACTTCACGTGAGATTTCTTGTGGGTATAAAGATATTAATCAATTGGATTCTGAGTAATAATAAATATATGTTTTTACAGGCCTGCTCTTTTTCTTTCCTTAAGATATTCTTAATTAAACATCTGGTTTCCACGGAGCCACAATGCAAATCGTGTAAATCGGTATGTACTTCTCATTTTTCGATTGATTAAAAATGAAAAAAAAAACACGTTTAAACTATATTATGGAATCACAACGAGACTTAACTATAGCTTTAAGTCGGGCTCCGCGTTATGTACTGTCTGAAAATACAAGTATAACCAAGGGAGGATTGCAAATTCATGAAAAACCTTTTGGGAGAAACGTTTACGACAGCCATTTTTCCAACTCATATAGATCGTCACACATTCACAAAAAAATAAGGTTTCAAGGCTTACAAGAAAAGAAAATTCGGAGGCTACCTTCCATGGGCATCAGTCTCTTCTTCGGACTTTGGCGATTAATGTCAGTTGGCCAATCAGAATTAGGATTTCAAGCTTACTCATCTGGCACTGACCAATCAAGTTCATGAGCCTAGAATGACTGTGCCCTTTTTATAAAACAGTTCAGGACGCTTTCCTTTCAAGTAATAAGCTGTTTAGAGTGATTTTCCCCTTTAAAACTATTTCTGAATGCTATGCATCGGTCTGTGACTCGATGAGCCGGTACTTTCATTCGTAAATGGATGACTTATCACAATGATGCAATGAGGATGGCAAAAAAGGTTTATCAAAATAGAAAACTGCAGGCTAACCTTACAGGCTGTATTTTTTTTTAAAGAGAATTGGCGCGTCGGCAGGGGGCGTTGTGCCTCGTTCACTGTTTGTAGTGAAGTGCACATTTGAGCAAGAGGGTCGATGGGCATGCCGCTTCTTGACAGTTTCAGCATTTCATTTGCTCTAACAGACTGATCAGCATTCAAGCCAGTGCAGTGGCCTGCGTGTATGTACGCAAGGCGGGAATCACGCGTTCGACTTGTTTATCCTCGGGAGTCTCCTACCCGAGGAAATCGTTGTCTTCTCCCCGGGAAAGTGCAGGCGTTGGGACCTGCAGAAGCGACCCGTGTATCTGGTTACCGTTACGAAAATCAATAACTCGAAGCTTTCAGAAACAACCTTGCAAAATGTATCATGGCCCGTCTGGTTTGAACTGGCCTTTTTCGCCCGGCTGTACGGTCATTTTCCTAGAAAGTTGGATCTTGTGTTTGCTTCACTTAATTCATTTTCCAAAAACATGTTACATATGTTTCTTTGCAGTACGCATGTGTTAGGTGGGAAACTAAAGGTTGAGGCATCAAAGACACACTTTTTTGTGCAGCCTGATTTTTTTAAAATGTTTCCCTCGGATTAAAAGAGGACTGTAACCCACTAGAGAAATATGAGTGGACGAAGCAGAATACAGCTATTCATTCTTACCAAGCTGTCGTTTTCCACCGATTTCAATTATTATTATTTAGTGCTAGAAAGACATTCTGTGGTTAATAAAAGGTTCTTTTTTATTGGCATATCAAGCCCTAAATTAAGTGTGACATTTACCTCAATTCCAATTAAAAAGTAATTCGTGATTCTGTTTGCTTGTCACATCTGATGCTGCATGGTACTCGTTGGCACATAGGACCTCAAAGAGAAACGTCAGTGCTACTTAATTAAAATGTGATGTTTGAGCCTGATGAAAAATTGGAGGGAACAAGTTATTAATTTTTCCCTGGTTCGCCTCATCTTGCTCTTCATGCTGCGGGTAGAATGCATCTTCTGTAGTCGAAAAAAGAAACTTCTTTTTTGACGAACGGTGACGAACAAGCCATGAATTTCACTGCATGATGGGGGTGAACCAGTCGAACACCGATTTATTTTTCCTTCTAAGTACTGGCTCGTCATCACATAACGCGTTGTCTATATAAGAGCTTTGGTCTACAGTCTGTAAAACAAGAGTAACTCCAAACTTTACCTCATTAGCCTTAAAAACTGACATTTGGGAATAAATTATTCCAAGTCGTCAACCCAGAGCTTTGTGAAAACAGAATTTATGTAATTAGGTGGGACGACTGATATGCCTCCGCTTCAGTTCCCCATAGGTTTGCGTATAATATGCAGTGTTTGTCATCCAATCCCATGGTGCCACAAAAATGTCGAAAACAGTTTATTAGGTCACTAGTCAATTTTACCTCGTATGACGCAGTCCCACCTACATTAAACTGAGCCATATATAATAATTTGTATTTTTTGTAGGTTGGTTGGACATCGAGATAATATTTACGAAATCAATGATTTTAATATTGAATCCAGGGTACCCGCGCAGGTCTGTCATGCAGGCGTGACATACACAGGACGGGTGACGCGCGAAGGCAGACTCAAGCAAATTACAGCCACCTCTCTTGGCTTAAAGTAGGCTACCCTTCATTAATTAAGGCAGGTCGTTATAAATCCACCTGAATCATCAGTTCGGACTCTTCCCCAAATGGCGGCAAACCTTGGTTTACTCCTGCGTGGGCCTCTAAATGATCACCTCTAACCAGTGTCCTCCTGAAATGCTCCGATGTTGGCTGTGGCTACAGATTACGTACGAGTCTGTGGTAGAGACTGCTGCATGCAGCCCCTACCTGCGCATGCACCGGCACGGCTCTGACAAGCTGGCTGTGTCTTGGACCAATGAAATATGGGGCCCGGTTCTTGGACTCTCCTCGTAAGTCCAGTTGGGCAAACACCGCACATTTTAGCTTCACTGATGTTGGTATTAAGTTCCACAGTTTAAGCCTTCCCCATAATTTTAATGCTTGAATTAAATCATTTTTCTCCCCTTGTTTGTTTGTGTAATCTTCTCATAGAGCGATGCGAAGGAAACTCAAATTAATTGCTCTATGTCTGGTTGCATCGGTAGTCCTTGAGAAAATAGTGTTAAGGGCATGCTGCTAGGGCCTACATGTCTATATGGGATATTCGAGCTTGCAATTATGTTCTCCATCCATGTCTCTACTGCGTATACCCGCCGTTGCTGACATCTTGGACATTTTCTGCTCTCCCATATGCTGAAGCTCTGTAAATACAATCTAATGCATGCAGTATCAAGTGACGGAGTGCCGTCTAGGGGCGTACCCGATTAAGTACATAACATTATAGCAAACGGCAGCGGGATTGTCGGCAGGCTGAGCCATTCCTTGCCGGATGAGGCGATTCCTTGCTGTTATAT